AGGTTGAGGCACTTGGTCTCCCTGATTCTCCTGCGCATATCCCTGATTCTGCCCTTGAAAATGTGGCTGATGAAGCCCAGGGGATTCTGAGGAATTCTAGGGACGCCCTGAGGCTGTGCATTCAATGCTCCGCTTGGGTTTCCTTAGAAAAAACTGTGTTGATTCCTAGGCACGTTCGGGTGGTAGAGATTAGAAGGATTTTGGTTTTGATTCCTCCCTATGTAGTTGACGTTCTCAACTGATTCTTCTTCTGATGTGGCCTGATCAATCAAGAATATTCCAGGCTGGACCTTCTGCGGGTTAGACGTATTCTTGAGTCCCATGTGATATTTGTTTGCCGATAGATCAGACATGACTGCCTTCAAAGCTGCGGACTCGCCCAAATCTACCTGTCCTGTAGAGCGTCTCCTGCTGTCTCCTGACATCCCTCTTGCCTTAGCCATCATTGTGATCTGCGTTTCTAGGGTGTCAAAGGGAATATCGTATACATTCCCTCCACAAGCTGCATCCATCCATGCTCTAGTATCGTCTCTCAATCCGTGGATGAATGTGGAATGCAACAACCGCTTATCCATGTTGTGGTGTGGACAAAGGCGTTGATAGCCTTTGAATCTCTCTCATGCATCGTATAGACTCTCATCACTCTCCTGAGTGAAGTTGTGTATAGCTCTCTGTGCAGCTCGGGTCTTCTCTGGGGAGTAGTATTTAGCCATAAACTGCTCCTCTAGCTCTTCCCACGTCGTAATCGAGTTCGACTCAAGGGTTTAGAGCCAATCTCTCGCTCGATCCATCAGTGAAAAAGGAAAGACCTCAAAGTATACATCTTCAATAGTCATCCCTCGTGCCTTCCTAACTGATCTGCACATCATCTTAAACTGAGTCAAATGAGCAATGGGATCCTCTGTAGGTCGCCTTCAGACTAATCATCGTGATGCACTATAGCGATAGCTCAAAACTATCTATGGGCGGTATGTTGATGTATGACAGGAGTGTTGGTTTAGTGCTCTATGATGTACTGATTATGAGCTTTGTTCAGATACATTCGATGTATTGATACTTTTTATGAGAGTATTTTATTCATTACATGTTCTTGCATGCTAAGATCTGTTATGAAATCCATGTATCATTATGAATGATACTAAACTCCCTAGTCTTGTGTCGTTATGGGAATAACGATATAATAAGACTAGTATGATCTGTGATTGATGATCACAGAGATGATCATAGGTATTGGATACGATCACAATCATAGGTATTCGTTGGAAGATGGAATACTGGATTGACCCGCATGAGATTGTCACATGGACTAGCGTCATGACTTGAATCTCATATGGCGGTTCCATGATTGGATCCCAAGACCTGAGATATCTACGGGATCCAACATGAGGAGTTGCGTGCTTTGATTACGTCAAACGTCCTGCGTAACAGGAGGACTATAAAGGCGTGTATCAGGCACGAAACGAATCATGTACTGGATTGTAGATAGTCAAGACGGGATTTGTACCTCTCGTAAAAGAGAGAGATATCGCTGGGCCCCTCGTGTGAGCGAGACTGTAGAAATGTGTGGCCGCACTATAGACGAACGTCGTCTATTTCAGACAGTCGAACTCAGTGAACGAGAAAGCAGTCGAATCGGATAAGGTGGCTTGTCCATGCCTTATGTTCGACGTATGATATCGCGATACAAAAGGATCATCAGCCGGAATCATCACTGGAGTTCGTATGATCATGAACAAACTCTATTCGAGATAGGTAGTCATAGTGTTTTGCTAGAGACCGCCTATGACTTGTATACCCGAAATAGGGATTTCGGGTAATACTGCTATATCGAATGAGCCTACAGGGTCACACACGCATGGAAGGACAAATGCACGAGAGAAAACGACGGAAAACTGAGTCGGGAGGGTCCAGACCCGACGGTCCGGATGCGTGGTCCGTCCGTTCTGGGA